CCCCCCTATGCCCTCCCTTGCCAGTCGCCTCCGGCACAGTGCGGCACGGTAAGGCTGGAGTAATTAATTCTCATCACAGGTGAACTCTATGGCCCTACGCTGCTGTGCCTCGGCTGCGTCTGCGGCAGCGCGTTCGCGTAGCTCTATGGAGAGTAGCTCCCCGGGCCGACGGGGAAAGCTTTCGGAGGCGCTCGCTGTCTACGAACTGAACACGGCGTCCAGCGGCACCCTCGCCGCCTGGACCGAGGGGAGGGTGGAGGGGCAAGCCAGTCATGATGGCGCCTCAATCATCACTCACACATCCTCACGTCGACAACAGAAAATCGCACCAACAAAAGTGGAAAGCTCTAGCCACCTTCGAATGGTTACCTCCATTAATATGGTTACAAAGTTGACAATCATACAGCATAACGAAACGTGCTTTATTTAAATAATAAAAGTTCTCACAGCCATTTTCATGCTGCCCGAAGCCATCACACCGTGAGTTTCGTATATAGCTGCCATAAGAGAAATATATGGCACATTTTGCGAATACAAATGTGTCTTGCGTACTACACGGTAATAAAAAAACAAGGTCTTGTTTTTTTTTAAAAAAAAAACAGCCAAGATTGGAAGCAATACAACAAGGGAACGTCTTGATTTTTTTCCAAAACTGCTTGAAAGTCATGACAATGGTGAGCCGTTGAGTAAAAAATGCAGGGTAGGCAAGAGAATGCGGATTTGGGCGATGGGCATAGCTAAACTACCAGCCACTATGAGATGGGAGGGAGGATGGTGGCAGCGAGGAGGGAGGGAGGGGGGAGGTGGAGGGGGCTGGGGGTACAACTTTGGAACGTATATCCTGGTCGGCATCAGCGGCATTGGTCCGAGAGAACAGGCGGGGGCATTGAGTAGGCTGCGGGGCACGCGGCCTGCCGGGGCACAGTGCCGCTGCGCAATGCCGTCGGCACGCCCGCACCCCCCAACCTCCCTCCCATCCACCACCCCTCTCTAGATTCCGAATACGAATAAACTTGGGGGAGGGCAAGCGAAAATCAGTCTCCCTCTCTGGCCACGCCTGCCACAGCCTCCTTAACGCTCGGGGAATAAGGAGGGGAGGGAGGGTCAGCTTTGCCAACAGCGGCAGCTTTTCATTAATTCTTTGTCGGCCTGCACAAGTATTTCGCGCACGGGAGCCTTTTATGCTCCAACGGTCACTAATTCTCCCGATCCCCCGACCCGCCGCGCCACCGAGCTGTCAGCGGCAAAGGAGCGCGCCCCACCCC